ATATATTCCAATGGAATATTATCTGGTAATAAAAAGTATCTTGATATCATAATGCCAAGTGAACAAAGCCAGTTACAAGTGGAATATACAAGAATTGTATCAAAGTTGTCATTTGATTTTTAAATAAAAGAAAATTATTTGGAGACAGTGTTTTACTATGTAGTCCTGGCTGGCCTGGAAGTTGCTATGTTGACCACGCTGGCCTTGAACTCATTTACCTTGACAGTTCTGGGATTAAAAACATGTACCACCACACCTGGTTAAAAATATATTTTGTGTGTGTGTTCTTAGGTGTACCCATGTGCACCACATTCACGTATGAGCCTGTAGAGGTCAAAAGGTGTGGGCTTCTCTGGAACTGGACTTGCAGATGGTTGTGAGCCACCATGCATGTGAGTGCTGGGCGCTGATCCTGGGTACTCTGCAAGAGTGAGTGCTCTTAACTGCTGAAGCATCTTCAGGCCCTTAAATCCCCCTGTTCCCACATGGTCTCATATGTCCTTTGCTGGTCTGGAGCTCCCTATGTAGCTGAGGATGACCTTGAACTCTTGATACCCTGAGTGCTGGGATTAGAGGCATTCACTGTTCTGTATGTTTTTTTTTGTTTGTTTGTATATGACTGTTTGCCTGCATATATATGTGCATCATGTGCATGCCTGGTGCTAGGAGAGAGGGCATCAGATTCCCTGGAACCAGAATTAAGACTATTGTGAACCTCCACGTGGGTCCTGGGAACAGAACCTAGGTCATCTGTAAGAGCAGCCAGTACTCTTAACCACTAAGGCATCTTTCTAGCCATTAATTATTTCGTCAGGCCGGGCAGTGGTGGTGCATGCCTTTAATCCCCATACTCTTGGAGGCAGAGGTAGGTGGAGCTCTGTGAGTTCAAGGCCAGCCTAGTCTACAAGAGCTAGTTCCAGGACAGGCACCAGGACAGAGAAACCCTGTCTCAAAAAAAAAAAAATATTATTTTGTCAGGCAGTGGTAGGACACTCCTGTGATCCCAGCACTAGGGAGGCAAAGTCAGGCAGATCTCTTGTGAGTTCAAGGCCAGCCTGGTCTACAAAGCAAGTTCCAGGATAGTCAAAGCTGCTATTTGGAGAAACCTTGTCTCAACAAACCAAAACCAAACCAAACAAAAATTATTTTGTGTATGTGCACAAAAATGCAGGTACCATACATAGTGACCGAAGGCATCAAATCTCCCAGGAGCTGGAGATACAGGTTTTGAGTTCTCTGACATGAGTGCTAGGAACCAAACTTGGGCCTTCTGGAAGAACAGTATGTGCCCTTAACTGCTGAGTCAACTCTCCATTCTTTTTTTTTTAATATTTATTATACAATATTCTGTCTGCGTGTATGCCTACAGGCCAGAAGAGGACACCAGACCTTATTACAGATGGTTGTGAGCCACCATGTGGTTGCTGGGAGTTGAACTCAGGACCTTTGGAAGAGCAGACAATGCTCTTAACCTCTGAGCCATCTCTCCAGCCCCCAACTCTCCATTCTCTTATGCCTACTTTTATGTAGTGCTGGGGAAGGAACTCTGCTGAGCTACACCCCAACCCTGACTCCATCAGCTTGCTCTTAACAGTTCATCATTGCAATACTTGATACCAGGACTGTCCCAAAACACCTGGTATGGGGTCCACAGTTACATTTTTAGTTACAAGCAGGAGTCAAAACAATCCTTCTGTATTTGCGTTGAGCTTCACAGTGATTCACACTCCACTCATCCAGTTTTAGATCTGGTTTGGAGTCAGAGTAACCTTAATCCACTTGTTTTTTTCTTTCCTTTTTTGGTTTTTCAAAACAGGGTTTCTTTTTTTTTCTTTTTTTTTAACCTAAGGTCTCACTGTAGAGTCCAGGCTGTCCTTAAATTTATAATCCTCCTGCCTCAGCTTTCTAAATGCTGGGATTACATGAGTGCACCATATACACACAACTAGTTAGCTCCAAGGTAACTTGTTTTGTTTATGCACATCTGCACAGAGGCCACAGGTCAGCCTCTGGTGGTGTTTCTCAGGAAGCATCACCTTATTTTTTGAGACAAGCTCTCTCACTGACCTGAAGATCATTACACACATGGCTTTTAAGATGGGCTCTGGAAATTGAACTCGGGTCCTCAAGTTTGTACAGTACACACTTTACTGAGCTATCTCCCTAGTTCCTTCAAATTGTTTAAAAATACCTGAACTTGGTACAGTGGCATAAATTTATATCCCTAATACTTCAGGGGCACAGTAGGAAGTTTTGGAGTTTAACATTAGTGTTGGCCATATATAGTCTCTAAAGGCAAACAAGGTAGGAATGTACGTAACTCAGTCGGGTAGAGTACCTGCCTAGAGTGTACAGATCCCAGAGTATGATTCTACGGCCCTGTAAAACTAGGCATGGTAGTGCTACAGGTTCAAGGATAATCTGGTCTACATGGTGAGTTCAGGTCAGACAGAGCTAGCTACTTATTGGGAGACCTTTTCTCACACAGGGAAAAGTTGTTCAAGGTCATCCTTGGTTATGTATTGAATTCAAGGCCAGCGAGCGATTCTTCCTAATACAAAAAAAAAAAAAAAACCCAAAAACCCAAAAATCTTGTATTTTATAAATAAGAATAACATAACAGAGAAATAGTGCAATGCTCAAGGGCAAGAGAGATGGATCAATCATTTCCCAAACACCACATGGCAATTGAAAACCATCTCTAATTCCAGTCTTGGGATCCGATGCCCTCTTCTGGTCTCTGAGGGCAATGTATGCATGTGGTGCACACATACACATGCAGAAAAAATTCATACATATGAACCAAAAATCATTTATATTAAACAACAGACATTGCTCAGGATTCAGTATTACATGCCAGGTGTGGTGGTGCATACCTTTAATCCTAGTATTGGGGAAGCAGAAGCAGGAAACCTCTGTGAGATGAAGGATACACCCTGGTCTATATAGTAAATGCCACATCTGCTAAGACTATATATTGAGACCCTGGCTTAAAACATCAGTGCCCCTAAAACTGAAGATTATATAGTTATCAGCTAGATATAGTGGCACATGGGATCCTGAGGCAGGAGGATGGAAAGTTTGACATTAGCTTAGGCTATGAAGAGATTGTCTCAAAAGAATAAATAAATGTATGTATATATGTGTGGGTTTTGTTTTGCATTTCAGGCAAAGTAAGGGCTTATGTAGCCTTAGCTTGTCTGGCATTCACTATGTAGAACAGGTGGCCCTGAACTCACAGAGAACCCGACTCTACCTCCTAAATGCTCAGATTAAAGGCATGAATCATCACACTTGGACCAAAATCACAAATATATTTTTAAATTGTGTGTGTGCACATTGGGGTATATGTATTTGAGTGCAGGTGCCCATGAAGCCAGGGGCCCTGGAGATAGTTACAGATGGTTGAGACACCTGAGTGGGTGCTGGAAATTTAACTGGTCCTGTGGAAGAGGCTGCAAGTGCTCTTAACTGCTGAGCCATCTCTCTACACCCATTCAAAGTTACACACACACACACACACACACACACGCACGCAGGCTGTTTTGTTGTGACAGTCTCACATGTAGTCTTAGTTGGCTTCCAATTCATAGAGATCTATGTGCCAACATACCCGGGACTATGTATTTTGCCTGCATGTGTATTTATGTACACATGCAGTATCACCATGCCTGACTTTTTCTTTTTTTTCCTTTTTTTATTCAGAATCTCACTGAACTTTGCCTCTAAAGTGCTAGGATTAAAAGCATGTGCCCCCATTTAGAGCTTTAAACAATTTATGGTCTTGTTTTTATTATAATTTTTTAAAAGGTCTTTATGTGTACAAATGTTTTGCTTGCAGGGATTAATGTGTACCATGTTCATGCCTGGTGCTTGAGGATATCAAGAGGGCAATGGATACTCTGGAAATGAAGTTATGAATGTCTGTAAGGCCCCAGGTAGGTGCTGGAAATCAAATCCAAGTCTCTGCAGGACTAATACATGCTCTAAGCTGCTGAGCCATCTCTCTCCAGTCCAAATTTTTACTATGCTTTAAGTCTTTAAAAAAACAAAGTATGTTTATCAGTGTTTTGCTTGTGTATATATGTCTGTACCACATACACAGCTGATGCTCTCAGAGGCCACAAGAGGGCAATGGATCCCCTGGAACCAGAGTTATGGATGGTTGTAAAACAGGGGCTGGCAATTAATTCTAGCTCCCTTGAAAGAGCAACAATTTTTTGTTGTTATTTGGAGACAGGGTCTTACTATGTAGTCCTGGCTGGCCCAAAATTATTCATGTAGACTAGGCTTGTCTAATTAAAGGCATGCACCACCATGCTCTGCCCTGCAGTGAAGTGCTCTTAACTGAACCATCTCTTCAGTCCCACATGCCACATGGCTTTTTTATTTTTTTTTTTAATTTTTAATTTTTTTTTGAGAGAGAGATAGGGTCTTAATAGTATAATTCTGGCTGTCCTGGAACTCAACTTTGTAGACCAGGATGGCCTTGACTCAAGAGATTCACCTGCCTCTGCCTCCAGAGAGCAGGGATTAAAGGTGTGCACCACCATGCCCAGCCATACAGCCGGCTTCTTAAATAATGGTTTCTGAGCTAGGATTATGAGGTACTTTTCCTTTGTACTTTGTGTTCATGTATTTATTTTGTAGTGATAATGTTGTTTTGGCAAAAATGATCTATGTGAAAATTATGGGTCTTTTCTAACATATATACACAGATAAACAAAGAGAACACACACCAAATAACTGACTAGCCCTGTGGATGGTTCAATGTCTTTCTACATGTTTGAATCTAATGTATTTGAAAATGTCAACAACCATTATTAACCAACTCACCCATTCAGAAGTGGCAGAACTCCCCAGGTAGGAGGGAGGGGAAAAAACCCTCCATCAGGAGGACATAGCCAGTATTGTCCTCATTCTTTCCTCATTCTGGGACCCAATCCAACCCATACCAGACAACTCACACAGACTGAAAGAGGAGTCAGGGGGTGGGGGTGTCTCATTGTAACACTCATTTTTATATAAATATTCGCAAGTCATGTTACAGAATAAGCCCCACTGGGGAAAAAGTCAAAGTTCCGGTCTTGTTAAACTGAGCCCTGCCTTCTAGTTAGGCCCCAGCCTGGAGGTGCTGCTGCTTTGGGAAGGCTGGGGCTGCTGCTGGGAGGCTGCTGAAGAAGCTGCCTGTGTTGCCCACCCCTGAACCAACCCCCTTCTTTGGTGTGTGTTTCATGGTGACCTTCTCTGGCCACCTCTCCCTTAGTTTGGGACAGGGTTCTGTGGAACAGGGCCCAGGAGTCCTGAGGGCACTTGGAAATAGGGTAGTGGTGGGAACTTAACCATTAAGAGGAGTCTGAGGCTCGAAGGCTGAGACTTTTAGAGTAGTGGGCCACATAGAATTAATAGAACAAGTCTGGGGGAACCTGGGCTGACAGCTAAATAGTGTTTGCCCTTCCCTCCAGCCTAGATTCTAGGTCCCTTTCCCTGTTGGTCTACCTCCTGATGAACCCCACACACCCAGGGTCAAGCCCTGGGTTCCTGCCTGTCCCCTCCAGGCTCTTCCCCTGGGACACCCTCCCCCTACAGAGAGGCCAGAGGCTAGGAACACAGCACCAGTCTGAGGATTTAATTAACCAGGAAGGGGATTGTTGGGAGGGGCACCCCTGTAAAAATGTACAAAAGGTCTGGGGAGATTTGTGGAAGGGGTGATAAATATGTACATGGAACCCCTTTTCCTTTAGTTCCTCTTTCTTCAGCCCTAAGAGGGCATGAGAACTTGGGTGTTAGGTGAGGGGGAGGGGGGCACTTTGGCCTCTGGCTTAGTGAGCCCTTGGGGAGGCAGGCCAAGGGCCTAGAGGCCCTTAGAGGGGGCATGGTGCACCTAAGGTCATGAGCCATAACCTCTGAAATATCCCCCTCATGTGCACGCGTGTGCGCACTCACACATTCACACTCACACACACACTTCTTTCTAGAGGCTTATGACCTCTGTCCTCCCAGTGACCCCAGAGTCCACGAGATACTTGACCTTGTGTGTGTGTGTGGGTTGGGGATTCTATTCCCAGGTCCATGACTTCAGAGATGGCCATGAGATTGTGACCTTTGCCTACCAACCCTGGCTTAAAAACTTCAGCCCTAGGACTTTGTCACAAGGAATGGGGAAAGGGGGTGGAGCTTTGCCCCTGCCCCTCACCTCTCCTCACCTGTCAGCCCGGGCTGGGCCAGGGGCCCTAGGTGGGGAACTGGGCCGGGGAGCGGGCACAAGAGGTGGTGGTGCTCCCAAAAGGGCTCCTGGTGGGGTCTTGCTGAGAAGGTGAGGGGTTCCTGGAGTTGCAGTAGGTGGTGGTGGAGGAGCCAAACGGCTGTAGAGCAGGGGATGAGCAGGGTCTAGACTATAGAGGCGGGCAGCGGCCATGGCCCCTGGTCCAGTCAACTCCTCACCTGCCTCATAGAAGCGTGGTGGCCTGGTCAGGCGTGGGGGCCCTGCCAACCAGGCTGGCTCTGAGAAGCCTGCACAGCGCTCTGGCAGACTAGGGCCAAGAAAAGGGGGTGGCCGGGGCCTCTCCAAAAGCAAGTGAAGGCCCTGAGGCCCAGTGGTTGCAGCAGCGGCGGCGGCAGCAGCAGCAGCAGCAGCTGCAGCAGCGGCAGCAGCAGCGGCGGCGGCAGCAGCCTCTTCTTTCCGCTCTTCCTTTACCCGCACAGACTCCTTGGCTGGACGGGCTCCTTCCTCGCCAGCCCTGGCCTTAGGAGTAGCAGGAGAAACTCGCAGCTGGGGCCGTGAGAAAGGGAGGTCCCTGGTGGGGTAGGTAGGCAGGCACAAGGGAAGAGAATGAAGGAATTCCTGTGGCTGACAGCGCTGCAGTGCATAAGGTTGCAGTTACGTAGAGGACATACCTGTCTTTCTCCTCCTTGGTGACAGAGGGCTCTCTTCGCTCCACAGGTCGCTCCTTGTCTGAGCCTGGTGTCCGTGCAGTTTCAGGGGGTCGGACCCAAGCAGGAAAGGCAAGAGGACTGCGGTGCAGGCGGCCCCATGGGTCTGGTGGGGAGGCAAAGGCTGGTGGGGCTCCTGGGCTTTCTTTCTGGGCAAAGACGGCGCTGGAGTCTGGTAGAAGGTAAAGTAGAAAGTGACAGGGGCCAGGAGGGGGACACTGCACAGAGGTGACCTCACAGGCCTAACTTGAGCATATAGCCCCACTGTTGCTGTTCCCACCCTCATCTTCCCACCCTACCCAGCACTCACTGAATGTGGGGCTGCCCAGGCCTCCAAAGGCCCCGTTGGAAAGGGCAGCCAATGAGGCAAAGCTTGTGGGACGCCCAAAGGGATCTGTGGGGGGAAAGGGAAATTGGTCAGAGCACAGGGCAGTCAATTTTGAGCAGACTCAAAGAAATGGTGGGGAAGAGGCAGGTGAGTAGTGAGGCTGGAGTCCTTAGTGTCTTAGACTTTTGGTATTTGTTCTTTGAAACAGGGTCTCACTACATAGTTCTGGCTGGCCTGGAACTCACAGAGATCTACCTGCCTCCACCTCCCCCAGTGTTGGGATTAAAGGCGTGTATAACAGCTCACAGTGACTTAGTTTTAAGAGTCATTTACTGAGCATCTCTTGTGCCAGGTCAGACACTGTTGTTTAGTCTCTTTAAAACCTCTTTAAGTAAAAAGGACAATTCTCATTTTCAAATGATAAAACAGGCTCAGAGAGGTAAAATGACTTGCCAAAAGTCATCTAGCTGTAAAGTACCATTAGCCTGGGGCATCTCTAACTATAAAAGTCAATTTTTCCCCCCAAGACAGGGTTTCTCTGTATAGCTTTGGAGCCTGTCCTGGAACTTGCTCTGTAGATCAGACTGGACTCAAAATCACAGAGATCCACCTGTCTCTGCCTCCCAAGAGCTGAGATTAAAGGTGTGCACCACCACTGCCCAGCCAAAAAGTCAAATTCTTATCTGTACCAACTCCAGATATCTAAGACCTCTTTGGCAGCTCTCAATTTTGTAGCAAACTACTAGCCTGAAGACTTTTGCCAGCTTCACCCTATCTGTAACATTTTCTCAGCCTGATTCTTCTTACATAGCCACAATCAGTTAGAATTAACTAGCCTACCCCTCCACGGGATCCTCAGTCTTTCTAGCCAGAAACACCTTTATCTGGAGTTAACTTTTCTTCCCCCCCACCTATAGTCTGGTTAAATCTTCCCAGGAAACTTCCCTAGGTCAATAACCATGTTCTCCCTTGGGCCTGCACAATCTTTCTTCTTCACTCTCTCAGGTGGAACACTATCCTCTATCACTGACTACTTCAGAGGCAGGAGTAGCAGCAGCAGAGTGGGACCATCACACCCTTCCATATGCATTCAGAGTAGGGAGAGTGACTGCAAATAAAATCCTATCTACCCAACTTGAGTTGTTGCTTAGGCTGGTTTCCATCTCTATTTCCATGTTAAGAACAGGGCAAAGGAAGCCCAAAGTTTTCTTGGCTCTTACCAATGTGGGTGCTGGGGCTCAGGAAGGGTCCATGGGCCCCGGGAGCTGTTGTGAAAGGATTGGCTGCAGCATGGACGGCTCCTGGGGCAGAGAGGTGGGAGATTCTGATGAGGATGAGTGGGAGCAAGGTGGACACTGGGCTATAGGCTCTGAGAGGGCTGGCCAGACTCACCAGTCGCAGTGAAGAGGGAGGCCGGGTGGGAGAGCTCCTGCCCAGGGGGCAGGGCCCCATAGGGCCCCGGAAGGCAGGGCAAGAGGTCGTTCCGAAAGTCAAGCTTGTGGGAGTCACCCTGCATGGGACATAGGGAGAGGGGCAGTGAGGAGCTAGGTCTGGTCTAGATTTTAGTTTTCCTTCTTATCCTATTATTCTTAGATTGCCCCTGGCTCTTACTCTCTCACCCCTAGCTTCCCTCCAAGGGCTGGCTAGTACCAGAAGGAGACTTAGGTTCTTTCTACCACCTCTTTTAGCATGTTCTCTAACCACACCAAACTAGGCAGAGAATGCAGGTGCATAGAACTGTTCACGAATGATGGAGATAGGAGAAAAGGCTTCTTGTTAAAAAAATTTTCTGAGCTTTGTTGAAGGTTACTACCTAAGATGACCCCTGCCTCTCAGACCCACTTTCCCGAGCCCTCCAATCCCAGTACCTTCATCTTTTCCTGGTGTCTCAGGATCATGTAAGCCACACGCACGTGCATGGCACACCACTTTCCTGGTTTCTGTCGCCCCCAGGATGACCAAAGGGAAAGGGAAGGAAAAATGTTCACTCACCACCCATTCTAGGCCTGGCCCTGGGCCGAGCCTTGCCACACAGCATCCTAAATCATCATCCCCAAACTGAGAGATGATTAACTTAATCTTAAAGCCTAAGGAAACTGAGGCTCAGAGAGCTAAACTGTTTTGCCCAAGGTCCCATGGCCAGTTATATCTCAGACCAGTTTGTGACTTAAAGCCCTGTACTTTCTATTGTTTTACATCTGGCTGCCTTCACACCTTGAACTTAATTGTTCCCAAGCAGGAGCCCACCCCCCTCAGCCAAACACCCTGAAACCAGCCCCCAGCCTCATGCAGCCTGAGATCCTCACCAAACTCACCCTCAAAGGTGGCCGGAAATGATCAGGGATCTGGGGATGGTAAAGGAGAGATTGGAGGCAATTCAGACCTCTTTACTGACCTGAGTGTCACACCTCTACAGTACCCTTCCCACAAATCTCCGAGACTGTGGCTCCCTCCGATCATTCTTGGCAGTGACAAAACTCCTTTCTCATTTCTTCTCCCACTCTAGGCATGGCTTTGTCTACATCAGGTTTCTGAGTTAGATGCTAAGGAGGTACCCTCTTGGGATGGCTAGGTAGGGCAGGTTTCTCTACCAGAGAGCAGCCTGTCCTATGACACCTCGGATTCCTTAGGCAAGGGACCTTTTATGGAAGTCAGAAAACTTAGTCTATCCTTCAGGAAACATGTTCCGTACATATTTTACAGTGTTCTCAGAGCCCTGAAGTCTGAGACATGTGGGGAGCAGGAGAACAACTCTGGTCACTTTATAAGTTTACTTTTTCATTGTTTCCTGGTATGATGCCACTTGTGGGTGGGAGGGAATCAAGTGATTTATATTTGAAAACTACTGCAAAAACCAGTGTCTTGTTAGAGATGTGTCTGCCCAGTGGCAGCATGTATGAGGCCCTAGATTTGATCTCCGGTATCACCAAACAAAACCAAAATACAAAACTACTGCCCCATTCATTACTTTATTCTTGGGACGATACCCTCAACCTTTTATTCCTCATGCCTGCACAGACTTATACAAAAGTCCTCTCCTTAGACTCCTCAGGGTGGACTGCAGGGAAGAGTCAGTGACTCACCGTCTTCTCTAGTCAACTCTTCTCTCCCCTCAATATACCTTCCAACTCCCCCAGGGCCTGACCTGTCCCCCCTCACCTGTGTTCCCTTCTGGGGGAGCCCGCTCAGCACTGGCCCCAGTCGTGGTGGCAGCTCAGGGTTCGTGTTCTGGGAAAGGGGAGTGTAGGGATCAGACACGAGAGCCAGTGCCAAGTTAAAAGGGGTCTAAAACTAAGATGGGTGATGGGACAGGAGAGGGAGCATGGCGTTGCAAAAACCTGGGTCCAGAAGGGAGGGCAGGAGGCTAGATACAGTTTTGAGGATGGGAAGAAGGTATAGGGGGGTCCAGGATGTCTGTAAGGGATGGGAAGTGGTAGTTTCTGGATCAGGAGCTCACCTTGGGCTGGAACGCCCCCTGCAGGGAGCCAAAGGAGACAGCTGGCGGGAGACCGGGAGGGAGCCCGGGCACAGCGGGAGGGAAGGCCATGTACGGCTGTGGAGAGAAGGGCACTAGTCCAAGCAGGGAGTGGAGGTGCAGCCCAGGTCTGATCTACCCATCTTTGGAATCCACCCTAACACCCCCAAAGAGCTTTCCCAAGCTTAAGGTTCTTGCTTTTGGAGTTGAAGACTGAACTCCACCGATACATACATTCCCACACATCACACACCCTCACACACACTCACATTATGTCGGAAAAGGCCTTCCATCTTTCCTGGGTATTTCTCAAACTAGGGAAGAGAAGGGAAGAGTGAGCTGCCAGCCAGGGACCCAGGATCTTCCTTCTCCTGCAGGAGACACCCTCCCTTAGGCCTCTGAGCCTCATCAGCAGCCCAAGGAGGAGCTCACCATATGGCCGTGGGGAGGCAGCAGGCCCGGGGGGTAAGGGGTGAAGTGCTGGTGGGTGTGCTGGTGGGTGTGCTGGTGCTGGTGGTTGTGCTGGTGGAACTGGAAGGCCAGGGGCCGGGCCGAGCCCCCTGCCCCCACCACCTCAGGGCCACCCTGGGCATTCAGGTAGCGAGAGTTCAGGTCCTGGCCGATCAGGTCCTGCTCTGTGGGAGGGGAGGGGAAGAAGGCTTTAATATCTGGCGCCACCAAGTCAGCCTCCTTGGGCCCAGGTGAACTGGCCTTCCCTTTAGCCTTGAGCCACTCCCTCCGCAGGCCCTTGGTCTCTGCCAAAGCCAACTGAGCCCATGCTTGGGGCCATGGCCCCCCACCACTCCACCCTGCCAGGAACCCAAACTCACCAGAAAGGGCGTTAGCGGCTGAGGCCCCAGGGTGCCCTGGCACCTGCAGCAGAGGTGGGGGTGGGGGCAGGGTGGGGCCAGGGGAGACCAAGGAGGGGTGGTGGGGTGGTGGTGGTGGGCGCAACCCATGGGGAGGAAAGCTGTGGGTGGATAGAGGCAGGGGCAGTGAGGGCGTCGGGGGCCGGTGGGTGAGCTGCGCGGACGAGGAGGAGGCAGATGAGGAGGAGGAGGACGAAGAGGATGATGAGGGGGGAGGCTGAGCCACGGGAGGGGCCGGGGCCTTGGGGGGCGGCCGTGAAGAGCTGGGGAGAGAAGTGGGGAGATGAGTGAGGGGGTGGGAGGTGCTAGCTCTAACAGGAGGTGGGTCAGAAGCCTGGGTGATGCTGTGGCCTTGGTTCTCCAATATGGGAGATGGTAGAACTTGGCCCCCATGGACTCCCTGCAGAGAACCCAGTCTCAGGATGAGATGCCTCCCACACCCAACAACCCTTTCTCCTCTTTAAATCTGGTTTTCACAAAGATGCCTCTGTTATCTCTTGCCATATGACTTTCCTTTTTCTGACTCAACCACAGTACAAAACAGAACATTCATTTTGATGCTTAATTACAATGGGCCACCAAAGTTACCACCCTAAGACAGAGGAAGCAGTACCACATTATCCTGTCCTACGAATCAGGTAGCCTGAACTCTATGCCCATCTTGCCATTAACACCCTGGGTGACCTTGAGCAAGTCACTGCCCCTCTCTGAGCCTTAGTTTTCTCAATAATAACAATGACGACAAACAACAGTGAGGAACCCATAACAGTAGTGTCATTAACTCTTACCCTTTAATGAGTACTTACTGTAGAGCAACTGCTGGCATCTGCTTTAGGAGCCAATGCAAGTCTCCAACATGTCGCATCACCTTCCCCAGTGTTACTGTAGCCATGCAACCATCTGTACTATACCAATTCCTTTTCTATAACATAACTCACTTTTTTTCAGGCCTTATCCTAAGCAGTAACATGTTAAATCAAAAAGCTGAGGTATCAATCATATTCTCCTAAAGCAGCTAACTTTAAATATTTTAGAGTTTACCAGGCCAAGACCTGAAATCACTCCACGTCCCCCTAATGATGTGTGTACACACTTTGGGGAAACACTGCATTCACTCAGAATCAATCCTCAAGACAGTTTTAAGAAAGAAGTACTATTATTATTTCATTTCATAAGAAAGGAAATTGGGGCTCTCAAGATTTGTCAAAAAACATATAGCCAGTAAGTGGCAGAGTAAGAATCTGAACCTAGGTCCGACTGACACGGAAGCCAGCATTTGTTAATCATCACGCCAGCACTTCCCAAAGGATGCTCCCAACATTATCTGGAGCAGATGCACCTGACACCAAGTTCTCACCAGGATATACCGTTCTGAAAAGGCACAAGTGGATTCCTCTGTACATGAATGTATAAAGGGCTCAGCTAAACCCTGTAGTAATCTCTTTCAATTTATTTTCCCAGTGTCACTCCAACTTTCCAATTTCTCCCAAGTTAGACCTCATCCCATGTCCCTGTTACAGAATGTAGCTCTTCCAGATCAGACCAGACCCTGTACACTCACCTGCCAGTGCTGAGGTCCAGGCTGCTGCCATAGGGAGAAGTCCGGAGGCCGAAGGGTGAGACCCGAAGCTGCAGCTGGGGCTGGGGTGGGGGTGGCAGACTGGGGGTAGCTGGTAAGGGTGTAGGGGATGAGACAGGAGGCCGAGGGGCCGGTGGAGGTGGTGGTTCCTTTGGGGGGAAAGGCACTAGCAGCGGGTCGGGCCCTGGGGGCTGCTCTTGGCTCCGCTCCAGGCCCGACACTTTAGGGACCACAGACAGTTTTGCTTCACAGTTCCCATTGAAGGTGCCATGAGGACCCGAGGCTGTGAGAGCAGGATGGTAGACATGCTCAGCAGAGGTTCATGCTCACCCATGTCCCTTTCATGCTTCCACCCCAGCCCTTAGACCAACCTTTGCTGGTCGAGACAGTAAAGGAAGGGTCGAGGTCATCATCGGAGACCTAGGAGAGAAAGGTAGAGGAAGGTTAGGTAATTAAGCCTCTGGAGCCTGCTATGAACTGGTGGTGGTGGCAAATCTATTTCATCAGCCTAGCTATGATCCACTGGAATGTGCACTTTAGGGGGCTTAAAGAAGGAAGTGGTACACTGAGGCCAAAAATCTGCTATGCCAGGCAGAGATGGCTGAGATGACAGCAGATCAAAGGAAAAGTGTCAGTTACAACTGACTGCTGGAGGGCTGCAGAAAGAATAAGTTTTTAGGAGTTTGTACTGCTGTCACAGAGGACCCAAGTTAGAGTTCTAACCCATGTCAAGCGGCTTAGAACTACCTCTAACTCCAGTTTCAGGGGAATTCAATACCGCTAGCCTCTGCAGGCATCTGTACTCACTTGTATGGACACACACATATATACAGTTAAAAAGTAGTAACATAATATTTTTGCTTGTTCTCAGACAGGATCTCACTATGTAGCCTTGGCTGGCCTCGAAGTCAGAGAGATCTAGCTGCCTTTGACTCCTGAGTGCTGGGGTTAAAGGTAAACATCACCATGCTTGGTCCTAATAAAATAATCTTTAAAAAACACTATTTGGCCTTCAAATCTGTATGGTTTGTGAACAGTAACAAAAAAGAAGAAGAAAAAAAAACAAAAAACAATATCCCACAACACCTTTAAATTGTTATATTTTAAGAGCTGGAAGAGTCCTTATTAAAACAGACTAGAGGGTTTTTTGACAATGGTCCCCTGTTCTAACATGACAATAATTAGCTAGAACTGGATAGAGACCATCCCCTTAGGTGGACCATAATAACCCTCTGGTTTACCAGAGTCCCTGTTTAAAAACTTTAAAAGAAACACACACACACACACATACACACACACACCATGCATCAGGCTGTATAAAAGTAGTTACTTATAGGAGTAAAGAGGTAAAACATTACCTCCAAGGGCACATTATTTTCCAAAAATCACTAATAAGAAACTGAAATAGACTGGGTGGTGGTGCATGCCTTTAATTCCAGAGTTTGGGAGGCAGAAGGTAGATCTCTGAGAGTTCAAAGCCAGCTACGTCTACAGAGCTAGTTCCAGGACAGCAAAGGCTGTACAGAGAAACCCTATCCTGAGGTGGGAAAAAAAAAAAAAAAAGGAAAGTGAAACAGACCTTTCCAGGATGAGCATCTGCATTGATCAACCATGGTCTGGTATCTTCATTGCAAAACTCAAATTATACAAACAAGCTGATGGCCATAGGAAGGACCATTCAGTTCCAGACTCATCTGGACTCTTGGAGAAAGCTAGTGGAGGCTTGAAAAGTTCTGAGAAGGATGCTTGACCAATAAGCAAACTTTCAATTCTCTGATTACTTAGCCAAGTCCACCATTAAAAATAATGGGTGGAAGGGCAGGGTCTATGTGTGGAGAAACAGATCAGCATATAAGAGCCCTGGCTTCCAGAAGGTCCACCCACGTGGAGGCTCACAACTGTCTGTAACTTCAGTTCCAGGGGATCTGATACCCTCTTCTGGCCTTCTTAAGCACTGCACACAGGTGATACGCAGACATACATGCAGACAAACACCGATACACAAAATAAAATGAGAAACAAAAACCAAATCATCCAATCAATCAAACCAAAACCCAAATCAAACCGAAACCCAAAAGCCAAACAAAGAAAAAACCAGTGCCAGCAGATAACTCAGCAGGTAAAAGTGCTTGTTGGGAAGCCTGATGCCTTGAATTTCAGCCCTGGAACCTACATGGTGGAAGGAGAACTGACTTCTGAAAGTTGTCCTCTGACACACACACTGTGGCCTCATCCCTCACCCCAATATCTCCTTTTCCCTCCCTTCCTCCTCAGAACTTAATCCTGTTCATATAACCATGTTCCCACCCTGGGGAAACATGTCTGCTAATTGTGGAAGTTCTGTAGGCTTCAGACCATTTAAACATTTATAATAATGCCCACCCAACAAGTCCTTGCCCCACTCACCCTCTCATCCAGATCACTTTCTGCGTCACACTGAGAAGGAAAGAGAGAGATATCAGGAGATAGTAGAGGAGTGGGACCCAAGGGGGAAGGGAGGAGCCATTATAGGTGGCTAGCACTTACTATATATCCAGCTTCCACAGAGTGACGGGAGAAGGCCTGAGAAAGACCAGAGTCCAGAGGTGAGAGAGGCTGACTGGCCGGGAAACTGTATAAAGCCACAACTCCCAGAAAGGCATTCAAGGACACTTAACAATCTTCTCAGTCACCTTTTCTAGCTTTTTCTTTTGGTGCTTCCCACCTCCATTCCCAATGCTCTTACTATCTTCTTAATACACCAGGTTCTCACATCTTATATTTTGTTCAAAACAACTTTTCTTCATTTCTTTCCTCAGCAAACTTCTGACTAACTTTGGGGCCCAAGACATTCTAGGGGGCTTTCCCTAACCACAACCTGCTGCCCATCCCCCAAGACAGAATGAGTGGCTTCCTCATGTGGGTTTCTGCAGCATTTCTAGATTGCTCCTGGATCACTGCCTTGTACAGCTGCTCAAACTAGGCTAGGTGTTTGCTTGTTGACTGTCTCTTTCTCCCTAGAGGCTGTCACCAGCTAGAAGGAAAGGTAGGGACATCTAATTTATTTACAATTCAAACAAGTGTCAAGTGTCTTTGATGAGTCTTGAATTATCAGTATGTTTGTAGTACACAGCACAAGCAAAATCAAGTGAGTTAGTTTGACTGCAGTCAAGTCTTTGTCAGGCCTGCTCTGGGTGGGGGGGCTGCTGTTCAATTTGTTCTGGCTTTCTCTCTGCTCTTAGACCTTGGACTACTGTTTAAGATTGGCAGTTTTGATGCTCACGCTAAAACCAACCTACACGAATGATATTCTGACTGAAGACTTTTGAAGGATTGGGATCTGGGACAGGCTCACCTCTTTCCGTCTTCGCTTATTGGGCCATTTGCGGGGCCTATCCCCAGGGGGCCGGCCAGGCTCACGTTCTGAGCTGTCCCCTGGCTCCCCAGTGGCCCCACTGGAGCCCCCCCTCTTCCGTTTCCCAGAATGCTTCAGCCGATGTTCCAGTCGCTCTGGGGGCTGAAGAGATGCATCCTTCTGTAGAAGAGGAGGTGGGACTGAAGTGGTTGGAGAAAGCAAAGCTCCCCAACTAAGGGTGACCAAGCTACTCAATGCCTTTCAGTCAGGGTAACTTAGGTAGTCCCCAGAGACTAGCTCTACCTCCTCCCACCCCAGGGTGGGGCAGAAGCCAGGCCAGAGGAGCCGGTTGCTCAGGTTTGGGGTGTCACCACTGCCCCCTCAATGCCATCCGCTCCGAGGGCTGTATCCTTCTCTCTGCCCTTCTGACTCTCCTCCCAAAGACCCCCAATTCCTATCAGGACACACCTGCAAGGCCTCAAGACTGGCAAAGCTAGCGATGGCAAAGCCATCGATCAAGTCTTCCTCCTCTTCTTCCTCCTCCTCGGGCTCCTCCTCGGCTTCCCCGTCGTCTGCGGGCCCCTCTTCCTCTTCCTCCTCTTCTTCTCCGCGGCTGCCCGACCCGGCAGGCCGCTTCCGAGCTCGCGGTCTCGGGGGTCGAGGCCTGGGTCGGGGCCGCCGCCGTCTCAGGCCCCCAGGCCGCTCTCCA